CTGACCACTGGTCTCCACACACATGTACACACATATGTATGTTCATACACATAAGCGCATGAACACATACACACACAAAAATCTGAAGATAATCTAAACTTCAAAGGTTTATTTTTCTAAAAGAATTACATACATGAGTACTGTATTTACAGCATTTCTACCTTCTCCCTTTCCTCCCTTTTCTCCTTCAATTCACTCTTAAAATGAATATATTTTCCAAATTTTGGTCTCTTGATTTGTGTAAGCAGTAAAACTGCCACAGGCACATTCCACAATTTTCCCAAATGATAAATAAATCCGTTTCCATTGCCAATTTCTTTTTCTTGTTTTCTTTTTGAATGCAAGAGCAATGAGGTTCACAGGCTATACACCTGAATTCCAGTAACAGCCATGTTGGAAGAAAACTCAGAACTAGCCAACTCCTATATTTGAAATATAAAGGAAATTCCCAGCTGCTACTATCTTTTTCCTCCTTACTGCCACAGAAATCTGCTTCCTATAAGCACATTTTTCTTTTTTTTACTGAAAATAGTTTTTTTCATACAATATATTCTTCTTCTTGTTTCCTCTCCCCCAACTCCATCAAGATTTCCTCCACCGTCCCTCCCATTGATTTAGAAATCTGGCATTCACTCATTAAGGATTCTAACACATGAGCAACAAAGCACAGGAGACCCATGTCCAACAGAAGTTGCAGCAATTCCTGGGTAAGGTATCCCAGAAGACACCAATACCCAATGGAGTTGGCAGTGCCCATGTGGAAAGGCTTAGGTGTGAACCCTGGGGAAAGCACTTTGAAGAACTTGGGTGACAAAGACACCAGATGGTAACCAGAGCAAGTTAAGGAGCAAATGGTGGATGCTATACAGATGTCAAGACTCATTTATGGATTCATGTGAGACGCACCCTGGGGTTTATGCCATCATATACAAGCAAGCTGTCAGCTTCACTCACTGGTAGTTCTGTGAATCAAAAATGTCTAAATATTCATCACAAGAATCTGAAACACTCGGCTATGTTCAGCAAGTTAAGGTGAAGAAAGATTTTTTTATAGCACTTCTTAATGGTCAAATGTCTTCCACATTCTCTAGTTACACAGCGTTAAATATAACTCTACTGGAAGACTGAAAATACAGGTAAATGAAACAAAATATTTGCTTGAAAGCAGAACCTATGCTGTTGGTTCCTGTGGTGCCTAAATCGAATAAAGTCACAGACAGGAAAATGGAAGTATGTACCATTTCTCCATTGTGCCTATAGTTTCAAAAACATGATGCCTTATAAATTAGATTCACATCAAAGACCTCCTTTATTGTTAATAAGTAACCCCAGGGAAGGAATCCTTCATCTTATCCTTAGTCTCCAACAGATAATGTAAGAATCGTATGTCTCTCACAGTCATGATCCCTTTCACTGTCTTTCCAGGGTTTTACTGACATTTTACTGGAAAGAGTCATGCATGGGGGAGCCAATATTACAGGATTCCAGATTGTCAACAACGAAAACCCGATGGTTCAGCAGTTCATACAGCGCTGGGTGAGACTGGATGAAAGGGAATTTCCTGAAGCCAAGAATGCACCACTAAAGGTAATGCTCCATGACACATAGACAATGAAGGACAGCTTTCCATAACTTTTCTATATGGATGTTATACACTCACAACCATTCTGTAAACAAGTGGTCTTCCCCCAGAAGTCATTCAAATATGCTTCAAAAGACAGCTGCAACTGATTGTATTGCATAACCCCACCCCCAAATGAACTATAGAGAATAGGATCTTGTAAAAATCTAGTTTTGAAAATAAATTAACCTTAATTTTTAAATGAATTTCATGTCTAATATTCTCATAGTAATTTACACTATTACAAGAACCTGAATCAGGCAAAGGGTGGAGGTGGTGGAAATAGGTAAAGAAGATTGATAGTCTGAAACAGAAAATTGGATTTTACATTATTTATGTGATTGCTCCATGATAATAAGTTCCATGAATCTCAGAACACCCAAGTGAATTAGTCCGTAATGTAGAATATGTATTACCTCTATGTACAGAAATATTGAACAGAAACAGTTGCCTGTGTGCAAAAGTGTTTTTAAAATAATTAGATTGCCTAAGTTGCTCATTTTCCCAAAATCTAGATAAGAATATTAAAAGCAGAAAGTCATATTTAGGGTGCATATTTTCCCTATGTGTTCCCTATGGTTAGAGATCTTATTATTTACTCACGAGTTTAAAATGGACAAATTAGGGGAAAATATTCATGCACAAATGGCTATAAATATATACATTATATTTGAACTGATGTGCTGAGGGAATGAGTATATACATATATCCAATTCAAGTATGAAGCTAATTTTTAATTCTTTGCTGTTATAGTGAAAATGTGTACTATGGCCATAATATAAGATGAGGAGTCAAGTACTGTTAAAGCCTTCCTTTTTTCAAAGGGAAACTGAGGAAGGTTTCCTTTCTCATACTTTCAAGTTCTCCTTTCTCCTTAATTATAATAGGGTAGAGAAGAACAGCAAGGGTCATAGTTAAAAGAAGAGATGCATTCTGGACTACCCTAAATGGGTCACATCAGAATGTAATTCAAGTACAAATTTTAAACAATTGAAATGCCCTAGAAAATTCATGAGCTAAACATAATTTTACAATTCAGTAAAGTCACTCACTAATTAGGAGCTAACTGTATGGTTGTAGTACAGACTACAGTGCCAAAGTTTCCAGGGAGGTCCCATTTTAAAGCACCCAGCCCTTTGGTCAGACCTGGTGTCACCCTCCCAATGAGGAATGTTTTATAATCAAATCCTTTTTAGTGTACTAAACTGGTATGATTCCTCCTGCTATTTAGGTGAGCTTATGAAAGATTGTATTTCCATTAAATTGCCTAACCACACTGCTTTGTGATGTTTCGATTTAGCAGCTATAGAAGACAAAGATACATTTATTCATTATTTTAAGGGTTCTCAACAATTTTAAAAACACAGTGTTAGATGTAAGAAAATGAACAAAGATAAAAGATATAAAGAGAGATACTGCAGAGTAGATTATTTCTGCTCTGAAGATGTATAACTTGTAGAAAGGATAATGAAAACCATCTCAGATACCCATTAATAACAATGAGTGTGTGTAATGCAACGTGCTAGTGTTTACTACAAATAAATGCTTAATGTTATAAGTAAAACCCTATAAATGGTTTAAGAAAGTATTGAGCCTTGTACTGAATGAATCAAAGTCTCTATTTTAATACTTGATATAGAATATATAGAGTTGGGGAAATTTTTCTAGAAATTAAAATCCAGATGTTATTTAATCTATATTTTATAAACATTTCTTTGGGGGTTTATTTTATATGGAGAGGGCAATCTCATGCATGGGTAAACAGAAACTGAATAAAGTACAAAATTAAACTGTTCTTTTAGAATAGCTTTAGAAGAGCTGCATTAAGACTGGTGACAATTTATGCAGTTGGTTAGAAAGAAAATCATCACCATTGGCTTTAGGTAGTGCTAGAATGGGCAAACACAAAGATTTTTCTTCATGAAAGAAAATATGCCCCTATTATAGTCATACTTGATGACTTGCTTCTGAATGAAAAGTAACATGAGAAAAACAAATTGATAGTTGTAGAGACAACAATGTATTCGCTCCCAATTGTATTTGGACAGCCTTTTATACAGTAAGAACTCCCCTTAGGACATTTTGCTACATTTTAAAACGTCAATAGATTCCATATTCTACAAGTATTCATAACTCTTGCAAAACAGAGGCCAGATTATTGTAATCATGCTTTGTTGATTCATTTAATAGAAAAGCATCCACCATTTCACACTGCAGATAATCTCTTCTGTTAAGTGACTACCCTCATCCCTAGTAGAACATATCACTGTATACAAGGAAGAGAAAGTAAGTATTCTTGCCTGAAAAAGGTAGCATCATGAAGCATTGCCTACAAATTGTTGATGTTATCAGATTTAAAACTCAATAACAACTGTAATTTTCTACAATTGAAAAGCATCTTTGGTTTTTGCTACCCCCTGGGAAACAAAAACTGATTTATTGCTGGCCAGAGGTCCTAGCTTGCTGCAAACATGGTCCAGACAGAAATGATTAATGTTTCCTTCCAAATTAATTTCAAGCTGTCTAACTTAGCTATTTCCATTTTTCCCTAAGTAAACAACAGATCTGAATTTTCTATTACAAGCAGCAATAACTCAGTCTTGCTTTAGGATACGCTGTTTCCTCTCTAATCTATACATGCCATCCCTTAGCATCACATGCATTTCTTCCCTTATAAAGGACCCAGCCTCTTGTAGTCACTCACTTGATATGAAGCAATATTGAGAGCAAGAAAGAAATTCCCCTTGAGCCATTTGATCTTAATAATCCTACCATGTGCACACATGAGGTAAGAGGCATCATTGTCGAATGCATCAACGTCAAGCTTGCCCAGAGAGAATTTCCAACTCACATAATTAGGATGATATCTTTGTAGAGTGAAAGGTAGAGGTGAATGAGAATCATAAGGAACAAGGCAAGTTTGAATGATGTCATTTATCATGTTATCTTGTTTTTCATGCATCTATTTTAGTACACATCTGCATTGACACACGATGCAATATTGGTCATAGCAGAAGCCTTTCGATACCTGAGGAGGCAGCGAGTGGATGTATCCCGCAGAGGCAGTGCTGGAGACTGCTTAGCAAACCCTGCTGTGCCCTGGAGTCAAGGGATTGATATTGAGAGAGCTCTGAAAATGGTAAAGAAAATTGTTTATTGGAGTGGATGGGTCTTATAAATGACAGAATAAAAATGAGACCTCAGTCTTGAAAGAGGGTGTACTAAAAGGAACAGCATCTCATATTGTACAGAAAAGATAACTATGGAGGCTCACCCCAATCTAGAATTCCAGCAATAAAATGTTCTACAATGAATTTTGAAAAATATAGTAAATTTAGGGCAAATAAAGTTTTGGTTTGATGCTGCACTGTAGAAGGTAAATGAAACACTTGGTACCCTCTGAAATTATAGGTTAAATGTATAAGTAGGTTCAAAATAATATATCTTCTACAAATGTGACGTTTCCTAGGGAGACTTGGATATTTTATAAGATGTTCCTAACTTCAAGATAAGCATTACAAAGGACAGCAGCATCCTTGGGCTCATCAGACAAATTATGAGCCAAATGGACTGTGGAACTGAGCCAGTGTGATAGTATTTCTGTTGTCAAAAAGAACACTTGTACTATTCTGCATGGTAGAATGCAGGAACATGATGCATTTCTAGGCCTACTTAAGAGGCTTTTGCCCAGTGCTGCAAAGAAAAAGCCTAAAGAAAAGTACAAGGAATCAATGGATAGACCATCAAATAGATCACTTGTTTTTAGTATTTACTGGGTAGGAGATCATCTAAGGCTTCAAGCAGTGTCCTTTGAACAGATTCCACTATTTACACTAGAAGCAACATCACCCATTCATTGCAGCTTTCCAAGCAAGAGCTCTTTCCTGAATATTTTACTTTATGCCTGACACATGTGCCTGCATGCATTAAAATGAGCCTTCAAGAGGACAAGAATCTCTTCTTTCCAACTAATTATCTTGGTGTTTGGGACATCCAAATGAACAAAGAGATAGGCCATCGTAAGATAACTCTGTGCACAATCCAGCAATGAAGAATTGGGAACAGCCTCATAACGTACATCGTTTTGTGTAATTGGCTCACTTACTGCTGCCTTAAACTTGCCAAGTTGGATGCATTCAATCAAAAGAGGTTAGTAGCCTCTGTGTCTTTCTCCAAGAAAGAGATATGAGTCATCCTCCTATCATGCAGACTTTTATGCCATTATGTCAATTCCCTAACAAATGCCCTAAGTGTAGTTTTATGGAAGTAGCACTGCACGATTTTGAAGAGCAGTTAATTAAATTCAACCTTCCTAGCAGTTACAAGATTTGTATTGTCAGGTGGAACATAATGATGAGTGAAATAGAAAACTGCCTCAGAGTGAATCAAAAAGAGTTTTCATCAATAAAACCTCATGGGGCAGGAGCCAGCATTTCTAATTGATTGGCCATTCATAACACAAACCCCACCTTCCCCAAAGAGAAAAGTGGCCACCAGAATAGAAAATAAGAAACTTGGCTACAAAATAATTAGACCAACTATCCTATCACACAGAAAGTTTCTGCATGTCTAACACACAGATAAGTTGAAATGATAAGCCCAGTAAGTCACCTTCCTTTTCTTAATGGTCACTCACCTGATCACAGGGGTCCTTCAACTCTTTTTACAGACCAAAGTGTTTGTACTGCTCCAAAACATCTGGGAAGCAATGGCCTTTTCCAAAAGCATATGATTCCTCAGTAATACTGTGCTATTCAAAGGGACTTAAAATGAGGTTGATCTAAAATACTACACACTTTACCACATTAAAAACTCCCATTTTATTTGAGGTTATCAAAAGTGAGATTATATAATGTACAAACATCCTTTCTATGACTAACACATAGTTGTTTCTCAATAAATCAATTTCATCCTCTAAAGAAATCTAGAAACAAAAATCACTGTTTTTAGATAGAAGCATGTATATGGCCTGTTTAAATAAATATATACCATGCTATCCATTCTGCAGTAAGTAAGCCCCTATGGGTATGTATCAGGCTCTATATTAGTATGCAAATGAGATAAGCTAAGGAGATCTCATATTTGAATTGCATTGCATTTGGTGTTGAGAATATAGAAAATGGTTGTCTCTTATCTTGAGATGCTCCCGATCTAGCATGGGAGGCAGAAAGATATAGATGATTAAAATTATGGGTAAATCATATGCAATTCTATTTGGATTAAAAGGGATTCTAGATGAGGTTGTAGGAACCTGTCACTGACATTCAATACCAGACCACATCCCTAAAAATATACTTCACTTAGAGTGGTAGTCCAATTCTATTCCTGCTCACCGAAGACTTGAATCATGGTCCTAGCATCTCAAGGGTATCTATTGACTGTATGGTTCATAAATCAAGTTCAGATAAACTAGATCTTTTGCAATGTGTAATTTCTTTCTTTTTAAATTAAAAACAATCTTATTTTACATGCCAATCCCAGTTCCCTCTCCCTCCCATCCAGTGTGTAATTCTTAATGATACTTGAAGGCCTGAGTATGTGAAACAACGAAGAATTTTTTAATAGGTCCTACACAATTGTCTCTGCTCTGTCTGACATCACAATTTGGGCTAGTTCCATCCTTCTGGATAAGTCAGTTGTGCATCAACAGAAGTCCATTTCTTTACCTAGAACTGGCATTTCATGTGGTCTGCAAGCTTAGAATTTAGGTTTGTTTGGTCCAATGGACAAACTGCCATATCAGAGTAGTTCCATAGTCTCCTACTGGTACTAAGAAATCCACTTCTTAAAAAAAAAAATATTCCCAAAGCCTTGTTATCAATTTTCTCTTTGGTAGTAGAACCCCATTACTGTCTTTGACTTGTTTGCTAGCTTGTCATTTTCTATAAATGAAGAGAAAGGCATTTTGCCAGTTTATCCCAAGAAAGCAAAAGAGATTATTTTTCTTTGAAGTCTCTGACCCTTACTAAGGAAGTTAAAAAAATCCAGATAGACTGACAGGCAGACACCCAGTCTTTATTTGATATCTCTGAACTGTAGAGCAGACAAGGAAATATGTCAATAGATGCGGCCTCTTATTTTCATAAGACTAGACCCAGAGCCTGGGACCACTATAGCATATGTGGGCTCTGAAGTTGGCATCTCAATACAGGAATGCAGTTCTAGCACTTCTAGCTTGTTATCTATCATTCTGCATTCCTGGTCCCATAAATCTCACAAATGTTCTCAGTCTTTGAATTATCTCTCCATGGCAATTATGCTCTCTGCTACCTGTCTGTGCCTCGGCATATAGTTTACATAAGGGGAAGGACTACCTTTCTCACAGTAGATGTCCATTAATGGGCAACCCAGTGGGAAAATAGCTAAATTCAACTGTTCAGCTTAGAGCTGGCAAGAAGACTCCAGGAGTTAAGGTGCTTGGTGCACAAACCTGACGATCTCAGTTCAATCCCAAGATCCCATGGGGGAAGGAGAGAACCAACTCCTGAAAAATCTACTCTGACTAAACACACACACACACACACACACACACACACACACACTGTAGAACATGTGCACCTACCTTCATAATTCATATCATACACACAGAGTAATAAATAAAATTAAATGTTATTATATCTAGACTGCACTATAATATTTACTACATGCCAGCCATTACTTAGATCTCATTTAATCATCTAAATAGTTCTGAGAGGTGGATACTTCTGGGATTTCCCATTTTACAGAGTAGGACCACAGAGTCATGTTGTGGAAACCAGATTATTTTCAAATATTGAAATATGAAGATAAGACACAATGATGGCCCCCAAGAAACGTAATGCAGAAGAATTCATTAACCTAGTTCAGCCTAAAGTACACTCTTAAGAAGGGAATACTAAAGATATCAAGTCTATAGCACTGGTTATAGACATCTCACTGAATCATACACATAACCACCTCTGATATCTACTCAAAGCATCATAACTTAAAGGCAGAGCAAAACATGTTGTTAAGAAAATAAAGCTCCGTGAAGACTTGATCTGCTGCATGAAATTCAGTAACCTGAAATGAAAATTCTCAAAGATTTCATCCTAGAGACCTAGAGACAACGATGTAAAAGCTAGTGAAACTTTTGCCTCTTTCCTTTTTACCAGGTGCAAGTACAAGGAATGACTGGAAACATCCAATTTGACACTTATGGACGTAGGACAAACTATACCATTGATGTGTACGAAATGAAAGTCTCAGGCTCTCGAAAAGTAAGTAACCAAAACAGACAATAAAAGAAATGTCTCTCCAAAGATAAGAGCATTTCCATACAAGAAGATATGTGGGAAATACACAAAGAAAAGCCCCACTTGGTGTTTGTGTCTTTCCATTTGCTGAGGAGTATAGATAAGATACATAGAGTTTTGTAATCAGAGTGTCCAAGTGCATGTTTTCAAAGGAGGCTGACATCCTGAGTCTAGTCAAATAAAAGTAGTAGACTCAAATTATTAACAGTTTTCTGAACAAAGGGAAGGAATCACCAACTTTACAGGATGCTATTAAACAGAATCTTCCAAAGCACATATGATTTTTAGCAGAGAAAAATAAAAAATGGGTCTCTTTCCGTTTTCCCAACCCACCACCAAAAAAAAAAAAAAATAACCAAAAAAAAAAAACTTGGGACAAAATACCTTTCTCTGTAGCTGAATTTTATATGACCAGTTGGCCTCTATCATACTAACAGTTGAGTTAGACTCCAGGCTACTCACTGGCTTTTTACTCCTATATAAGAGCATTCTGCAGTTCCAAACATTTTTCTGCTAAAGTATTTTGCAGAATGTCAAGTAAGGGTAAAGTGAGAAAAGGAATCCTCAAGATAAAGGAACAACAAGCACTGCTCTGTGTGTGTCCTTTCAGTTCTGAGGGCAGTAACATATAGAAACAGGGCACCAGTCCTTGTAAGTCTCCAGCTACTTGAAGTCCACTTGGTGTTTTTTGAGAGAAAAATAGGCATCCAGGTTAAATGTTTGTTTTTTCTTTCTAGGCTGGTTACTGGAACGAATATGAAAGGTTTGTGCCCTTCTCTGATCAGCAAATCAGCAATGACAGTGCATCCTCAGAGAACCGGACCATCGTAGTGACTACCATTCTGGTAAGTGTGGACATACAATAAATAGATTTTCTCAACAGCATTCTCAAAAGTATCATTTGGTTCTAAGTACTCTGAACAGTTCTTAACATATTATTCAGCCAGTGTTGAGTTCCTACATGCAAAAGTTCTAACATGACGGCTGTTTAGGAACCCTCAAGAACCTCTCCATGATGAACAAAATGTTGCAATACACAATAGAGTTTTATTCACTGATAAAGAAATATTAATTTATAGAATTTCCAGGAAAGTTTGCAGAACTTGAAAATATGATATTAAGTAGTATGACTGAGGCTCAGAAAAACAAATACTACATGCTCTCTCTCATGTGCAGATGTTAGTCTCCAATTGCTAAGCATGTGTATATAAAGTAGAGTATGAGTAAAGGCCAAGAAACTAGATATTGGGTCCATGAGAGCAAAGAGATGTTAGTGGACAGGTGGGAAGGGAAACTGAGCACATCATGTGATATTAACATGGAAGGGAAAATACTGATGACAAAATGTACAGAGGGGATGGAGGTAGTTGTGGAGGGAAAGGAAGAGGTGGAGAATTGGCCAGAACTAAGTATGTATGAAGGTTCCATCAAAAAATCGAAAGGAAGGAAGGGAGAAAAGGATTGAGGAGATGGTTCAGTGGGTGAAGTTGCTTGCCACCAAGTCTGATGACCTGAGTTTGATTGCTATTTCCTGTAGGTGTGAAGGAGAGAACCGACTCCTGCAAGTTGTCCCTCTGACCTCTACACAAGCACCATGGTATGTGTTCATTTGCCAAGTACACACAAAAGAAAAACAGAGAGAAAGCGGAAAGGGAATGGATGAATGAATGAATGAATGAATAAGAACAATTTTACATTGTCCTCTTCTACTTATCCCCTGAAAGAACTCTGTAGACAGTTGTCATTGCATGAAAGAAAATCAGATAAGGTTCTAGTGTCTAATTGTGCAAGTCATTGTAGGGAGACACTGTAGCCCTGCTTCCTAGTAGCCCCGCCTCCTAGTAGCCCCGCCTCCTAGTAGCCCCACCTCCTAGTAGCCCCGCCTCCTAGTAGCCCCCTGATAGGTGTGCTGGGACACGCCCATGAGGGTGTGGTCAGGGGAGTTCTAAGGTGACTCAGGAACAATTCTTAAGGGACCATGCACTTGTGAATGGCCCCTTCTCTCTGGCCTGGCTGCCTTGCTGCCCCTGGCATGCTCTTGCTTGCGTTTGAGCTGGTGTTTATCTGAATAAAGAAATCTTAGCCTTACAGACTACGGATCATCCTTGAGCGCACGTGGCACGCAATAATCAACAAGTCACAATTTTTCTAATCCTCAGGATTTAATTTTTGCTATTTGTAGGATGGAAAAAATAATAATAATTTCCTACCTATATCTTAGAACCATTTCAAGGCACAATTAGCCACATAGAGTTATTCCACAAAATTCAGTGCACTACAGACATTTGAGGGAGTAGTGTCAGTTTTAAAATGGTTTTCCAAAAGCTACTTTTTAATGAAATACATATCTCAGTTAAAAACAAGTATGTTATTTAAACAATATGTATCAATTACTCTCCTTCACCTTATCCTAGGAACTGTATATAGCTCAGCAGATGGAAAAACAGAGTGAGCCAAACATTCCAGCTTCATGAGAATCAGTGTTTCCCTATGGCCTGCCAGAGCTGGCTATACCTTCTACTGATACATCCTTAGAAACCAAAGGCAGTTCATCTTTCTGTAGTAAAGGAGATAGTACTTCCCAATTCGACAAAATCAAAAGACTTTGCTAGTAAAAACTGGTCCTACTTTCAAACTTTAGGGGGAAAAAGACTTAAACATTTCCCTACTTCATTAAATTAGCAGTTAAGGGCTCCAAGGAATACATGGCTCCATGAATAGTTGATTGAGGCTCCTTCCTTATTAAGTCAAATATTTAAAAATAATCATTTCCATACTCCAAGCCTCAATGACAATAGAGGGGGGAAATGTCTTCCTATTACATTTACAATCTCTTAGAAAAAATGGATAAGATTAATCTTCTGTTCTTTTTTCTTGTCCCAAAGGAATCACCATATGTAATGTATAAAAAGAATCATGAGCAACTAGAAGGAAATGAGCGCTATGAAGGCTATTGTGTTGATTTAGCCTATGAAATAGCCAAACACGTAAGGATCAAATACAAATTATCTATTGTCGGTGATGGGAAATATGGAGCACGGGATCCAGAGACTAAAATATGGAATGGCATGGTTGGGGAACTTGTCTATGGAGTAAGTATTTTCAGTTCCATTGTTATGTATTTCTATGCTTTTCAACTAACAAAATTGGTGGATTTAATGTTCAAGCTTTAGATTTATCAGACTTGAGAATTTCATAAGTCTGTGAAACTGAAAGACCCCCACAGGCTCAGACCCCCAGGATTTTGGCCCAGGACCAAGGTGACCCCAATCACCAGGCGGGGGCAAAAGCTTGATGCAAACAGCAAGAGGCTTTATTGCAGTTGTTTAATGAGCTAACCCCTTGTTAGCTCGGGCCTTTCATCCATCCACCATGGCAGATGGCTGAAGAAAGACTCCGAGAAACCACGGGACAAAGATCTTATAGGGCAGCGTAACAGGAGTGTCTAGGGGTATGCACAGGCTCAGGATTGTTGTGCCTCCAGGCTTGGAGGGCTTTCTCTGTGTTGATTGGTCAACTGGTTGTTATGGCCCATAGGGCCTCCCAGGGCAGTTACTATGCTCTGCATGTCATTGCTGTGCACTTGTCCATAAAGCACACCCAGAGCTGTAAAGCATAGCACCACCAGCTAACTTCTGATTGGTTCCTTGCCACAAGATAGGCATCTGACCTCCTAGAGACCAAGGCAAGGTCAGGCAAGAACATGTTAGGCTGTTATGGCTGCTGAAATGGGGAACTGTTCCCTTCAAAACCAAATAGATTCTTATGAAAGGTAGCCTATCAATATCATCCTTTGAGAACAGGGTTATTTTACCAAAAAGAAATTAGAATCGAGGGAAGTTATGATGAGACCCATAAATGGAACCTTAAATCACTCCTATTGTCTCTAAGATGTTAGCTTAACAGCTACAGGATGCCCTGGCCTGGGTGGTGAATGGCTCCTATCTAAATAATAATAGACTTGGGCTCAGAGTGGGTTTACTCTCACCCTGAAGGCTAAGTGACACTGCAGCTATGGAGCTCCTGATGGACAAGTAGTACATGCAGCTATGGAGTGTCTTTAGGATTAAGGGAAGTAATTGCTGTCTACCTTCTATACATAATAGAAGTCTTCTGCCATCCTCCCCGCTTTTGGTTGATTATTTAAGGTGGTGTATGAATAAACTGAGGCGCATTCAGTATGAACTGAATCTGCCTTCCTGACAGCTATTCTATGTCACTGACTCTTACCTCTTTTAGCTAGCCTTTTCCTCATCTATGCTTCCCCACTCAGGAATGGACCCAGGGCTGCTCTGCTGGTCCGGATCACAGCCCTACAAACACCAGTCCACGAAAAGTAACATGGCCACATTAAGCACAGCCTGCCTTCTACTGTATTCCTTCTGTATTTCACCAACTCAGTTACCAGAACCACCTACCTATGTAGTTGCCTGAGTAGTATCGACATCTTTCCTCATTGGTCCCCTCATGTCTAATGAACCAGTATGCACTATGAATTCTATTGTTTCTCAAATCTAAATGCGTTCTTCATCCCAACCAACAACACTACCACCCTGGTTAAGATTTTTACCATTTGTTTACCATTTAACTATGTCCCTACCTCTAGTTTTACACTAGCAAATCAGATGCACAGTACTGCAATTTACCACTCTAAAAACCAGTATAAAACTTTAAGACAGCTACAGTGGTATTTTCAGAGCTCCTCAGTGATTTGGCTTTAAGTGGTTTTGTTCTCAGGGAACATCAGATCTTAGAAAAACCAGTGAGGCATATGAGCATAAGTACAGTTAACCACCAGAATTGCCCATTGAGTAAACCAATCGCTAACAAACTAACCAAAGTGAAGGTGGTGGCAGGAGATATTTAGTTCTAATAAACAAGAGTCACTTGCACATATTAGTACCTGTTCAGACAACAGATACTAAGAAGACAAATGAATTGAGGGAGGGGGTTGCTGAAAAGCTATAGCCAATAAGAAGCAAATATCCATGTATCTATTGGATTGAAGATGAGGAATATTATTCCAGTGGTAGCCAGCACAAACTAGGGTGTCACTCTTCAATCATAAGAGACTACTGGGGTTAGTCAATATGTTTTTGAGAATAGGCCTTTGGAAACAAGCTTAAAGGAAGGAGCTTATTTCTAAAAATAAGGACAGAATGGGAACTAAGGCTAAATGAGGCTGGGCCCCAGGTATCAAAACTGGGACACTGTCCTCTTGCCAGACAAACAGTACAGTAACTTGTACCCCCGCCTCCATCTGTGGGGTTGGATCTGGTCACCACCTGTCTTAGGTCAAGTTTGGCCCTGGGAACTGGGGCAGGACTGAGTTTCAGATGAAACACAAGTGAGTCCAGAGATCAGAAAGAGGATTTCTACTTCCAGAGAGGGGCAGACAACCCAGTTGATTTCTGAGGACGCTGAGTCTCTCTCAACCATTATGACATAGGATACTAGTCTCTCCCTTTCCAAGTGACAATGTTTTCTCTTTCTTGTCCCTTGTCTTCTCAATACTCAAAGGATATTGTCATGCCTATAGCTCTTCCTGCACTTAATACATGACCCTACACATAGGGAAGCCTCACTTTTGTTCCAATGAATCAAGACCTGTATACAATAATGGTTGACAAAGGTTCATTAATCTGAGCCCATGGTGGGGAAAATAAGGTACTATTTTTGTTATTATTAGCCAGCACTTATAGAGTATTCATTGGCTGCTACCTACTGTGCTAAGTACTTTACAAGCATTATGTACCTTAATCTTCACAACATGCATTTGAAGAAGTTCCATTAGTAGCCTCATTCTACATGTGAGAATGTTTAAGCTAAGAATTGAAGTCACATTCCAAAGACCAAATATCCTTCAGGGTCTGTCTTAGTTGTTCCGGTTGCTATAAGAAAGTATATTAAACTAGTGGCTTATAAACAACAGATATTGATTTCTCACCATTCTGGAGGCTGGGAAGTTCATGATCAAGGATTCCATTGTCTAGTGATGATGAACTTTCTGACTTATAAATTGTAGCTGCTTGTTGCATCTTTACATTAGGGAAAGGGGAATTGGTCTCTGAAGTCTCTTATATAAGAACACTAATCCTATTCATGAGGGCTCTGCTTCATGGACTAACCACTTCCTAAACACCCCATTTCTTAATAACATTATCTTACAGATTAAAATTTGAACATATGAAGAGGGGCACAAACATTCTGTCCATAGCAAAAGCATAGTGATTTGAATCTATGAAGTTCATGTGCTTTTAATCAGTTCATTATACTATCCCATTCTAGAGGGAAGTTATTGAGGCTTTAGTATAGGAGCATGGCAAGAAATTGAGTATGTCATTTTCTACTGCTCCAGTTATCTGATGTGATCTAGTGTGTAAATTTGCAAGTCCATCAAAATAGAATGGGCAGTGTTCTGCAGTGTCTCCAAAGAAACCTGGCATGGTCTGGAAATAGACCAGTGCCCTCCTAGCATTCAGCAAGTCATGGTGACATCGGATAAGAGATTTCCTGACATTGTTCAGATGAAGTGCTGTTCTCTTGTGGTGCTTTGGTTTCTCCTCTGGAATGTCCTCTCTGCTGCATGGTTTAATCTCTACACATCCCTTTCTCTTTCTACTTCATCTATTTGTAAGTGAAGGAATTTGAGAAGTACAGAGCTCTTTGTTTAGTAATTCAGACCTCATCGCCTTGATTTTGAAAAGGTGAGATTTCTGGAGTAACCTTTCTCTCATTCCTCTGCTGCTCTGGGGAGAGCTTTCCTTTCTGCCAGAGAAGGCTCTTAAAGGAACATCCTCTCACCTCTCCTGACCTAGACGAAGTCTCTGATGTTTTCCGAGCTGAATAATACAAAGTGATTCTGGAGAACTGACAGCAAACCAATCCACAGAAGTCGACTGCCAAACTCCACTTTCCTCTGAAACCTAGGAATATAGAAGCTAGGTTTTCCTGTCATGCTTGCAGGAAAAGCTTGCTGTCAGAGATATCATAAGCTAAATGTGCCTTTATCTTTATGTAGAAGTTTCAATCTTCTGGCATTAGAAAGTTTTCAACGTCTCTGTTCATGACAAAAATGGAGAAAAAAATGAAAATACAGGTTTGCATTTCTGAAAGACCTGACCTCTTGTGGTTTGCAAGTTACTTCAGAACAACAAAGTGGGGGGAAACCCTCTGATGATTTCCCAGAGTTCTTAATGGACAAAAAGATGGAACAGGGAATGACTATTTGTATTTAGCAGGAAAACTACACAGATAGGCACTGCTTTATCTTTCGAGTGCTGCCTTTTGTATATAGTATAGATCAGAGAAGGAAAATGACGAAGGAAGTCAGAGCCAGAGAAGGCTTTGCCAAAGACATTTCTATATCTACCATGAGGTCCTAAGAAAAAGTCAAAAGGAATTAAATTTGTTAAAAAATAAAGAAGTCAATTAGTCTCTTTTCAGATGGTTCCTGAATGGGTTTTTTTCCTCTAAAGAAATTCAAATCAAAGTTGGTGTTGGGGCACCTTGTATCTCTAAGAAGGTTATTTTTGAAACAAACGTCAGCAGCATGCAATGTGCCCCATTATGTAAGTCCTTCAGTACATTGTGGTCTTGAAGCTGTCCACCTGCTTTTAGCAATTTTGATTTGGAGCTGGATTTCTGTAACACTGCCACATAATAATCATTCCAGCTCAAATGGCTCACACACCACCAGTTTTTACTGCTCCCAAGTAGCAAATGTTTTAAGAGGGCATTCTCAAAGAACATTTTGTGGCTACCGGGATTCTTAAATATTCCTTAGCTTACTATCTAATTCATTTTTACAGATGACTAGGAGATCCACCAGGGACTACACATTATCATTGCCCACTGAGTAAACCAAGAAATTGAAGCCTCATGGAGGACAAGAGCAACGAAATTTCTCAGGGAGGATGGGTGGTGGCAAATTTTGACAATATTACAAAAATCACAGTTTGGCAAGTCTAAAGCCTGTCCGGAGGCCTAGTGCTCTTTCCACTGGTTTACATTGGCTCAGTTCACTACGCTTATAGGTGCCTTGATGTTATTTCAGTCAGATATGCCATTTCTTCCTGGCTTTGGAGGATAG